AAATAAAAAAAAAAAAAACCCGAATAAAACCACAAGATTCAATCAGCAGAAGCTCCACAGCCGAACATCCCCATCTTCAAAACTATCCTCCACCGTCAGATTAGTATCCCAAAAAAACCCCCCATTCACCATCTCGTTGTACCTCGGGGAGTCAAAGTTGTACCACGACGCCACCTCATTAACCGCTTGTACCCTGTAGTCCTCATCCTCCTCCTCCGCCTCCGCCTCCTCGACCCGGACATTCAGACCCGAAGAGGCTTTTGGGGACGGCGTCCCGCCGATAAAATCGGCGCTCGATTCGACGGCGGCGGCGGCGGCGGCCGCCGCCCTCTGGATGGATTTCGGTGACATGGCCGAACCGCCGGAGTTTTGGGGCGGAAATTCGAGAGGCGGGAAGTTGAGATTCGCGGAGGGGCCCCTGAGGCAGAGGAGAGCGGCGTCGTAGGCTCGGGCGGCGGTCTCCGGCGTGGAGTAGGAGCCGAGCCAGATTCGGGTTTTCTGGTTTGGTGCCCGGATTTCGGAGACCCATGAGCCCCAGCTCCTCATTCGGACTCCCTTGTACTTTTTCTTGCACTGGGATTTTGAGGGGATGTTTTTTATCATATCTGGTTTAGTCATTTTGTAGGAGAAGATGAGAAATGTAGTGTGTGTGTGTGTGTGTGTGTGTGTGTGTGTGTGTGTTTTGGTTTTAGGTCTCTGTTTTTGGTGTTTGTTTTTTTTAGTCTTTGAAGAAGAGGAAACGTAAGTGAGCGTGTGTTGAAAAGGAAGGGGTTTTGATGGGTATTTATAGTACTTTTGTGGGGGCCAAAAATGGGATTTATAAAATAGAAGGGTCCCTTTTGGTCAAGGTATATGGTTATAACTTATGGGAGATGCTACAGTCATGTACGGAACCATTTCGTTGAAATTTGTAAATTAATTATCTCCATCGATTACATAATGATCTAACAGTTACAAACCGGACTGAATGGTTTCGTAACCATAGCATTTCCCATAACTTATAAGTGAAAATAAAGTTTTTTCAACCACACACTAACCATTATGAAAAATATATTAAGTTTTTTTAGTGAATGCTTGTTTATCAAATAATTCAGTTAAAATGAGTTATTTTGGTTACTAGAGTTGATTTTAAAAATGTGGTATGATTAGTTGTCGGTGAAATTTTAAGAATATATTAAAATCATATTTAAAATAAAATGATTAATATTGATTTGATGTAAAAGTAGAGAATAAATGATTGAAAATTATAGGTAGTTAAAATTATGTTAGTGGATGAATAATGAGTTAAAGTTGGTATAATGTGTTAATATGATTGCTTTGTACTATTTAATTATATAAATGATATTAAGGATAGTGAAATTGAGTTAAAATGGAGTTAAATTTTGAGTATGAATTAAATGTGACTAACTTATTTGATAAACAAGTATGCCTCTAATTTTTACCTCGCTGGTTGATTGAATTAATTTTTTTACTCTCAAAAGTCACTACAAGAAAATAGAGTTCTAGTGATGATTTTTTTTTTTTTT